TGCCGCTTTGGCCTTCCGTGGAGCTCCAATGGGGCCCGAAAGGCTGGGCAGGGGCGAGCGAGATGGGAGTGGCCGGGCATACGAACCCTGCCATTCGGGCAGTACGTTGCGCTCCAATGGGGCACGGAAAACGTGGCGGGGGCATGCGGGATGGGCGTGGTCAGGCAAACGAACCCTGTCGTTTGGGCCTTCTGGGGAGCTCCTATGGGGCCTGGAACGTGGCAGTGGCGAGCGAAATGGGCATGGTCACGCGTACGAACCGCTTGGGCCTTCCATGGAGCTCCCAGTGGGGCCTGAAAGACTAGACAGGGGCGAGCGAATTGGCCGAGGTCAGGCATACGAACCCTGCCGTTTGGGCCTTCCGTAGAGTTCATACGGGGCCTGGAACGTGGCAGGGCCTAGCGAAGTCAGCCTGGCCACGCATACGAGCCCTGCCATCTGGACCTTCTGTGGAGCTCCCATGGGGCCTGACAGACGTGGCAGGGGGGCGAGCAAAATGGGCGTGGCCAGGCACACAAGTTTTGCCAATTGGATCTTCTGTGGAGCTCCCCTGGGACCACGAAACGTGTGAGGGGTGTGCCGAATTGGGCACACGGAGGACCAGAGGCACGAGGCTGGGAGCGAGCAGCGGGTCGGAGTGGAGCGCGGTGCCGCTGATTCAAAACGAGGACCCATTACCACAGGATGCTTGGGAACCGCTTTCGTGACCTTGCGTGGACGCTGACTTTTGGCTCTACGTGGACTGTTCAGACTTGGTCGATCCAGGCTACCTGACAGCGGGGATCGTTCAAGATAGGCCTGGTTCAGGCCGCCGGTGGCATTCAAGCTTGCACGCCCGCACCAGCGCCGCCGCCGCGCTGACGCGGCCACGAACCTGCCGCATGACGAGGGCAGGACGCGGATGCGCAAATCGGATCGGACATGGAGCACCGAGGTCTCTGAAGAGCTGGCGAGCCCAAAGGCATCTGGAGGCCTCTGGGCTGTACGCGCCGCGCCGCCATCTCCCAGCAGTCCCAGGGGAGGCACAGGTACCGTCCCTCGTCGCCACGGCTGGACTCGTCTCCGGCACCCCGGTCAGAACGCGCCCTGGGAGATGTATGGGGAAGAGCGGTATCGGTGTCCCTGTCCCCACACAGCCTGTGCTGCCGGGTGACAGAAATCGGCGGCGAGCGAGGGAGGGAAGTGAGAAGAAGAAGGCCTTCTGGGAACGAGCGAACGAACAAACCGCCACCGTCGCGCCAGAGCGCGTCCCCAGAGGGAAGGGCGGGAAAGGCCGCAGCCCTCAGATTTTCATGTCGCCGGAAAATTTGTGACCCAGAAGTTCCGCCTGAACAGATGCGAAAGATGGCACACCAGAAAATAACGTGTCGTTCGCCGCATCAGTGCAATATCAATGTCAGGCCTTCTGAGAAGCTTCCGGTGTCTTCGGAGAAGGTTCTGAGAACTTCTCAGAGGGCCAGAAGACTTCCGAGCCTCCTGATCGGCTGCACGCAAGCATGACCCTAGGCAAGAGCGACCTTTGGCGCGCGGCTTAACGGAGGACGCGGGGTGGCCAAACCCCGGTGCGCAAGCCGCTGCTCCCGCTTCGCGGTCAGCGATCGGGGGACCCCATTAGGCCCGCACGAAAGGCTACTCTAGCGAAGGGTAACTCTTACGCCCAGTCGATCTGAGAAGCCAGGGTCACTCTTACGCGCAGCCGATCAGAAGGTTCGGAAGTCTTCCGGCCCTCTGAGAAGTTCTCTGAGCTTCCCCGAAGAAATCGAAGCCTTCTCAGAAGGCGCGAGGGCTCCTGAGAAGCCCCGCCGCCTTCGAGAAGGCATTCTCCTTCTCGCTTCCCCCCCCTCGCTCGCCGCCTAAACTAGGAGAGAGCGCGCCCACAGGGCCCGAGCAAAGGGGAGGGGGAGCTAGGCTTAAGCTACCCCCCCCTCCCTTGAGCCGCCCTTGTTGGAAGCACCCCCCCCCCCTCCCCCCCTTTTTTTTGCAGGGGGGGGGGGCTTACAGCTACCCCCCCTCCCCCCTTGAGCCCTCCCCAGAAGCTACCCCCCCCATCCCCCCCTTTCCAAAGGGGGGGGGGGTGCTTAAGCTACCCCCCCCTCCCTTGGCGCCGCCCTGCTGGAAGCTACCCCCCCCCTCCCCCCCTTTCGTGCAAAGGGGGAGGGGGGCTTGGAAGCTACCCACCCCCCACCCCCCTTTGGCCGCCCCGGAAGCTACCCCCCCCTACCCCCGGGGGGGTGCTTAAGCTACCGCCCCCCTCCCTTGGAGCCGCCCTGCTGGAAGCTCCCACCCCCCTCCCCCCCTTTGTGCCAAAGGGGGGGGGGGCTTGGAAGCTTGCCCCCCCCCCTTGCCCCCTTTGGCCGCCCAGCCCCCGGAGCCTCCGCCCTCCCTTTCGCCGACGATCCAAAATGAACAATCCACGATCGAGGATGGACGATCGACGATCAACGATCGACGATCGAAAATCCCAATCGAATCGCTTGCAATCGATTGCACTCCATTCCAC